CCCCAGTGGATGGCCACGCCCACCGCGGCCGATACCACTCCTACCCGGGCCCCAAGTGATTGGCCACACCCACCGCGGCCGATACCACTCCTACCCGCGCCCCAAGCGATTGGCCACGCCCACCGCGACCGATACCACTCCTCCCCACAGCCCCCAGTGGATGGCCACGCCCACCGCGGCCGCCATCTTGAGTCCGGGCAGCCCCCGCCCCTCCGGTCCTGCTGCTGCTCAGGCCCCTAAACCGCTCCTTGCAGGCGGCAAGGTGGCCACCCGGTGCCCAGGTGGAAGCCAGTTCCAGGCCTGTTCTTTTCTTTCCTTTAGTTATTTATATTTTTATTGATTTTAGAGAAGGAGAGAGAGAAACATCCATGATTGATCAGCTGCCGGTGGCATGCCCCCTACTGGAGATCGCTTGCAACCTGGGCATGTGCCCTGACGGGGAATCCAACCCAGACCTTCTGGTTCCTAGGTGGATGCTCAACCACTGAGCCACACACCCGCGGGACTCCTTGTTCCTTTCTGGAGAACAGAAGCCGGGTTCTGGCTGGCTTGGAGGTCCTGGGACCCAGGGATCCATCGCGTAGGCCCCGCCCCAGGTGGGCGGAGAGGGCCCCCGAGGGAGAGGGGATGGAGGAGTGCAAGCAAGGAAACCACCACCTGCAGGGGCATGCAGAGGCTGTGTTAGCTGAGCCTCCTTTCTTGGGAATAAATTCTTAATATTTGGAGGGAAAAAAGAAAGTAACTTCATAGGGTGATCTGATTGAAATATTTGGAGGGAAAAAAGAAAGTAACTTCATAGGGTGATCTGATTGAAAATTACTAACCCGGCGTGTCAAGGTGGCTGGTCACACCCCAGGCATATAACTTGATTTAGTAGAGGCCTGTATTCGCTTTAAGCAAGCCCTGCCCGTTGTTTCTGTGCACCCCTATGACTCAGCGGTTCTCAACCTGTGGGTCTCGACCCCTTTGGTGGTCGAATGACCCTTTCACAGGGGTCGCCTAAGACCATCCTGCATATCAGATATTTACATTACGATTCATAACAGTAGCAACATTACAGTTATGAAGCAGCAACGAAAATAATTTTATGGTTGGGTCACAACATGAGAAACTGTATTTAAAGGGCCAGAAGGTTGAGAACCACTGACTAGGTTAACACACTTCTGAAATAAGCAGTAGTCACCCTCAAGAGAGCACACAATCTTAACTACGTATCCTGTAATCCAATCCCTTGCATTGCTTTCTCCCACATCCTTGTAACTGTTCTTAGTTCCCTCCTTAATCAAATGCATAAAAAAAGTATTCTTTGGAGCATTTGAGATCTCGCTCCCTGGCATATGGCATCAGTTTGGCTCAAATTCTTATAAAAACTCTCTTATGTGACAATATCATGTAAGCACTAATCCTCAATTTACATTTATCCTGAGCCAAATTAAGAGCACATTTCGATGAACTAGTGTGGGGGTGCAGAATGAGCTACCTAAAGATGTGTTTCTGTGGAATGCAGATTGTTGAGCTACAGGCAATTTTAGCTTCAGCCTCAAGAGAAACTTCTTTACCTAGAAGAGCTTGAATTAGGGGCTTACCCATAATATGTTATCAGTGGTAACTGTTTTAACCCTACCTATATGGCAGGGAAGCTTTTATTTACTAAATATCTGCTCTTCTTATCTTGCAATGACCCTTTGAAGCCCCCTAGGCGCTTTACTTCATCCCAAGCTCATCCCCCTTGTATACCTCAATCGCCCTTTCTATCTCTGAATCTGTCCTGCATGTGTGTGTGTGGAGGGGGGTGGGGGGCAGTGTCTCTGTGTCTCTCATGTACATGGGATTTCCATACATATTCTAGGTATTTACAAAAACATGTATACAAAATCTGTAAAATAATTTTCACATAGCACTCAGACTACAGAAACATTCCCTTGGAAGGAAAGAAGACATTATAGTACTGGCTTCATGGCCTAGAGCTCATGCCCTTTGAAAATTCACTTAAAGGTTGAAACCACTCTCAGACAGAAAACAGGAACTTATTGGGCAGAAAAACTCTTCAACATTGGCTTTGAAAGAGGGCGAAAAAGAAACCTTTTGGTGATTGGGAAGAGTTTCCATGATACATAGTCAGAGTTTGTTCTTAATAGGTTTACTCTCAATCCTAAAAAAAGATAAGGTCCAGCCCTAATCTGTTTGGTTCAGTGGATAGGGCATCGGCCTGTGGACTGAAGGGTCCCAGGTTCGATTCCAGTCAAGGGCATGTACCTTGGTTTCGGGCACATCCCCAGTAGGAGTGTGCAGGAGGCAGCTGATCGATGTTTCTCTCTCATCGATGTTTCTAACTTTCTATCCCTCTCCCTTCCCCTCTGTAAAAAATCAATAAAATATATATTTTTTAAAAAAGATAAGGTCCAGATGCCAGCTTAAAAAGACTAAATTATCTTTATTATCTTTGCTTAAAAGTAGAAGCGATAAAAAAAATGTGGTATACCTATATAATAGAATCGTATTCAGCAATAAAAAAGGAATGACATAAAATAACATGCTACAGCATTGTTGAACTTGAAAACATTACTTTAAGAAGCCATTCACAAAAGCCCACATATTGAATGACTCCATTTATATGAGATGTGTGCCGTGCCAGCACAGCCAAGGGTTCGGTGAGCCTGAGGAGGGGTGGTGAAGGATTAAAGAAGACAGACAAGAGAATACAGCTGGGGCTCAGTGCATCTCCCATGCCTGGATGAGGTCACAGAAAGACCCAGCCAGCAAGCCTAGGCTTTATTTTATAGTGAGATTAAAGCATGTCAACATGTTTACAATGTTCTTGTGAGTTTCACCTTGTTTTGGCAGCACTTGTTGCACCTCCCACAGCCCATTAGCTACCTATCAAGGAACTAGGGAGGGCTATAAGGTTAAGCTTAATTATGCTAAGAGGGCTCTGCCCTCCAAGCTGGGATTTGTTTGTGGCCCTGCCACAGGTCAGTCCAAGGCTTAACCCTAGAGCTGCTCCCTACAGAGATGTCCAGAGCAGGCAAGCCTATAGAGAGAGAAAGTAGATTAGTGGCTGTCAGGGCCCGGGGATGAGGAATGACTGCTACTGGATGTGGGGGTCCTTTTGAGAATGATGAAAATGTTCAGGAATTAGTGGTGATGGCTGCAAAGCTCTGTGGATACTGTATACTAAAAATTACTTTATACTTTAAGAGTAAATTTTATACTTTAAGAGTATACTTGTCCATCACACACCTGTCAGAATGGCTATCATCAACAAATCAACAAATGAAAAGTGCTGGTGAGGATGCGGAGAAAAAGGAACCCTCGTGCACTGCTGGTGGGAATGCAGACTGTGGAGAACAGTATGGAGTTTCCTCAAAAAACTAAAAATGGAACTCCCATTTGACCCAGTGATCCCACTTCAAAAAAAAACAAACTCTCCATTTTAAAGATGAAGAAACTAAATTTATGGAGCTTCCCAAAGTTCACACGGTGTATCATCATACCATGGTAAAAAAAAAAAAAAAAAAAAAAAGGAATTCTTACCATTTGCAACAGCATGGATGGAACTAGAGAACATTATGTTAAGTGAAATAAGTCAGTCAGAGAAAGATGAATATCATACAATATCACTCAGTTGTGGAATATAATGAACAACATAAACTGATGAACAAAAACAGATCCAGAGATAGAGAAGCATTGATCAGACCGTCAAACCTCAGAGGTAAGGTAGGGGAGGATGGGGGTCAACCAAAGGACTTGTATGCATGCATATAAGCCT